GTTTATAACGTTGCTTGGCAACGGCGGACTGCGCAGGCGCAAAGCAGGACTCCGCCTCCGCAAGTACGAGCACTCGGCATAAAGCCGCGGCTCACTAATTGATCGGCGTCCTACTGTTGGTTGTAGCAGGACGCTGATCAATCAGCTGTCCCCTCTCTACTTCCATCCGGATCCCTCGCGGCTGGGCATCAGTGAACCGGTGTCCATCTCCATCCTCTGTTCTCATACAATACGAAACCGCAAGTACTAGGGGCAACCCTCACTATTGCTCTTCAGATTGCTGGGGTGATGTTCGGGGGAAACCTTGCCTCCTGGAGCTTACTAAACCCATTAGATGGATTACATGCTTCATTCAATTATGCAATAACTCTATGCTCAATTGATTACCTGCTTGATACTTCTATGCAATAACGTAACCATCAATTGATTACCTGCTTGATACTTCTATGCTCAACTGATTACCTGCTTGATACTTCTATGCTCAATTGATTACCTGCTTGATACTTCTATGCAATAACGTAACCATCAATTGATTACCTGCTTGATACTTCTATGCTCAATTGATTACCTGCTTGATACTTCTATGCAATAACGTAACCATCAATTGATTACCTGCTTGATACTTCTATGCTCAATTGATTACCTGCTTGATACTTCTATGCTCAATTGATTACCTGCTTGATACTTCTATGCAATAACGTAACCATCAATTGATTACCTGCTTGATACTTCTATGCTCAATTGATTACCTGCTTAATAGATGCATGCGCTAGTTCACTAGTAATTGAGTGTTTGACATAGCGGTGGTGCGCATCACAGCCACTGGAGTTGGTTGTGTTGCCTTCCCCACCGCCCACTCATATTAGGGGCAGAACCCCGCTCGACTCAGGATACGGGGCATGATGTGAGGCAGCTCCCTCCAAGCCTCAATAAATACAGGGCAATTGGAGACCGAGCTGCAGAGGCTGACCCCCATTCCTATAGACAAAGCTAAACACTCCGCAGCTGTGATTCAGAAACACGCCCGGTAGGAGGTAGAGTATTACAGTATCAGCTCTTTCTAGGGTCTCCATGGGTCTAAGATCATACACATATCAAACCTTTATGGGGTCTCAGTGGCTCTAAAATCATACACGTATCAGCTCTTTCTAGGGTCTCCATGGGTCTAGAATCATACACGTATCAACTCTTTATGGGGTCTCCATGGCTCTAAAATCATACACATATCAGCTCTTTATGGTGTCTCCATGGCTCTAATATCGTGACATATCAACTCTTTATGAGGCCTCCATGGCTCTAAAATCATACAAGCATCAACTCTTTATGGGGTCTTCATGGCTCTAAAATCATACACATATCAGCTCTTTATGGGGTATCCATGGCTCTAAAATTATAGACATATCAACTCAATGCAAGGCAATCAAGGTCCTCTACTCAACAGTTCTTAGGCCATCTCAGTGCTACATAGAGGCACGGACACACACACACACACTGTACATACATTGGATCCTTGATGCAGAGGTGAAAGAGCATGTCTTCATCAGTAATGGAGATTTCACAGGGGTAGTATTAACCATGAGGCACACAAGTGCCAGTGTCCTTGGCAACCCAAAAAGAGACAGATTAATAAAAATAAGTACTTTTTTTTCCATTCTCAACACTAGTGTTTACATTTAACTGCAATACTGGAAGGGAAAGTCATAAGAGTCTCCACAGCTCAAAGATAGAAAATTCTGCAATATCCTGTCTCTCTGCCAGCCTTTAATCCAGTGTCAGCTCTGCATATAAATAGATAGTTTTCTTCCTGTGACTGTACTGTAAATTAATAGTAACAATGACAATATGCCAACAGGAATCACATATTAGCAATATAAGGGATGGGGACTCTGTAAAATGTATCTGTGTTTGTGTGTTCCTAATGCATAACATTCTCTATTTACATCCATGGATTGAACACATCTAATGCAGACTACTTTGATAAACTATCCTTTTAACCCTTTTAATGCCATGGACATAAGAGTGTGTCCACGGCTCAGTATTTACTGTGACATCTACTGCAGTTTCATAGACTATAGGTTTATGGTTGCTTCATCCATTTGATGCCCTAGACTGCCTGCAATTGTGAATTAAAGTGATTGGCAGCTAACAAGCTGCTGATCACATCCATTCATAAAATTGACAGCAATCCCCCATGCTACCTCTGCCACACGCTGGAAATGTAAACAAAACGGCAGCGGCCACTAAGCAGCTGCATGGGGGAGCATAGAAAAGGTTATGATTGAATGCCATCACAACCAGTCATCACGTCTCCTACCTTCCTCCATGCCGCTGCTGGCACTTGGGAGGCCTTCCTACTAGCTCTCAATGTAAACACTGACCGGTCATAGTGTTAGATGCATGAAACAGCAATGCCAGCCTTACGTAAATATGTCACAGAAAAATAAGTTCCTAAAATCACAAGTTTACTGTCCACAATTAAGGAGAATACTCCGGGTCCCACTGTTGGTGGAGACCGATATGTCAGTGTTGGCTCGGTGTGCTGCTCTTGCATAACCAGGTAGAGGAAACCTGTAGCGAACTGCATTCTTTTTTGGTTTTAATAAAGTTTAGCTGTGGATTCATGCACGATCAGCTCGCTGGTCTCTATCTCCTCATTATCCACATCTGTCACTAACAAAAGTCTTCCCTGCTGTACCCGATCCACGCTACATTTTAAAGAAGATAGTGATACACTGTATACTGAGTTCTTGATGTGCTGCACACCCTCTGTTTTTTCCTCTAAGTGCAACTATGTCACCTATATAAAAAACAATGAACCACTCAGTTAATGCACCAGGTCGTGGTGCTCCCTCTGTTTTTTTGTACGCAAATATATACTAAAGTTTTATGTCCTTTAAGGTTTTTTCTAAAGATGCATCACAGCCAAAGCTGCTTGCATTTGGACTGCCTATCCAATAGAAACTCTGTATGGCCCATTCTGAGCAGTGCAGGCAAAAAGAGAGAGAAAGGAGAGGGTGGGGGATGAGTTATTCCTGTAGAGCCATAAACTATACTGATTATACAATATCTCTGCAATCTCATTAAGATTTGCCAAAACTAATTATATGAGGATTTACCTTAAAGTAGTATTAAAGGCTTTAACAGGGTTATAGACGAAAGGGTGAAGAGTTTGGAGAAGGCAGAAGAAGTGACCAATCTCAGAAATTTTAAAAAATTGAAAAAATAAAAAACAAAACATTTTCGGTATCGGTTTGACATTTTTTTAAATTTCGGTTTCGTTTCGGTTTTAAAATTTCCATTTCGGTGCACCTCTACTTTTTTTTTACCTTAATGCATCCTCTGCATTAGGGAAAAAACGCCCAGTACCTTTCTGTAACCCCTGACACACACACACTTACCTGTAGTCAATCTTCTCCTCTGCCGGGACCAGGAAGATACATGGCGTTCCCCGAACTTCCTGGTCCTGGGTGAGGGTACTCCTTTTGACGTCAGTCAAACTGTGGCTGTGAGAGCAGGGATGTGGCTTGCCACGCACTGTGTGTGTCTATGAACCCGCACAGCTAGGTGTGGGCACAGCTGGGAACACGCACGCACTGGTGTCTCCTCACCAGCCGGCTAGCTGAGGGAGACATCCGCAAAAAAAGGGTGGGGCGGGGAGTTAGCAGCAAGGGTGCCACCGGTTGCATTTAAATGTATATATTACATTTTCATATGCAATTTCATATTAACACAACTAAAAAAATATGTATTTAATCATATGTATAAATATCCAGAATAGAGTCGCACTCCCAGCGCTCGGCAGACCTAGGCTGTACTCTAATCAGCAATCTTCAAAGCAAGAATCTTTAGGAGAGACTGCTGTCCACAAGGCTAATTGGGATATATCCTAATAAACATGCAAAAAAAACCCCACAGAAGACAGCGCCTCATCATCGTGTTATAACATTTATTAACCTCTTGCCGTCTGCCCGTTAAGAAAAAACGGACGGACGGCAGACGGCATTTTTTTCCTGCTCGTGCGCGCCCCCTAGTGCGCGCGCACGGGCAGGAAAGACCCGCTCGTTACTACAGCCGTTAACGGCTGTTTCACATACAACCGATCGGTGGCTCTATAGCCACCGATCGGTTGTATGGCGTGAATTTCACCCCAAAAAAGGGTATAAAATTCATTTCAGTACAGCGCTGCATGACAGAATAAATGTCAGTCAAAGTACTGCAGCGCTGAATACTGAAAAATGGCCTGGATGGGAAGGGGGTTTAACACCCCGGATGTCAACTGGTTAAAGTGATAAAACTATTCACATGCTGGGGAAACGCGTCAGCACTACAGCTTTTTCCTGGGGGTGTGTACATACTCATCGCTCTTTTTCACTTTGTACATGTGAGCAGTTTTATCAACGTATAATAACGTTCAACGTTATTATATGAGGAGGAGGCGCTGTCTT